TGGTTATTGACAAATTTGTTTCTATGTTGACAGTTTACACTGATCTTCGTTGTATTCTACAGCATTTATTTTTCCTCATAAATTTTCTGCCATCACTGAAGTATGGGAGTTTGTCTTTTCTTTTTGCAGCAACCATATGAATACGATGCCAAGTTCAAGGGTGCTGCTTGAAAACACTTTTAATGGTGCTTCGTCGTGGATCTCATTGATATTTCTATTTGCTTCATGTACAAGTAACGCTGAAATGATTTTTTTTGGTTGGTATCGACTATGTTATGTAACTTAACCAATTCTTAGCGCTTTATTACTGTCCAGATAATCACCGCATAATTTTTGTTACCTGTCATACATGTTGACATTACCCCCATAATTTTGGTATTATTTTCTTGTCTAGAGCAACCAAGAGCATGGGATTTTATATACTGGCGTTGCTAAGCTGTAGAGTTATCTGGTGGTATGATGCACTTGGGTGCAAAATATGTGCAGAGAAAACGAGGTTCTATAGTTGCTTAGAGTACTTGCTAAAAGTCAAACTACGGTGTCCACAAATTTTGTGGGACCTACATGTATGATCCACACCACATTTTTATTTGTTTATTGTGTGTTCGACATATGAACTTGTAGATTCTATTGAGAATCGCGCTTGTTCACTGCGTGAGGGTGATTGCAATTTGCAAATTACATATTGTTATTCACATAATCTATTATAATGATATTCTTATGTTAGTTGGACAACGTATATCCCATTATTCACGAAAATAGATTTTGTAATAGAACTAACATAAATTAGACTTGTCCACGTCGAAAGTTGCTTGGAGTGCCACATCAATAAAAAGAACCCTACCAAAAACTATGTTCACTATCGTGCTATAATGCTCGGTCACTGGGGGTGGGTGGCGCGTTTCAATACTTGTCTGATTTTGTAGGCATTGATGGAGTTCAGACAGGTAAAGGATACAATAGATGGGATGGGATTTGCTGTCTAATTTGTTGTACATTCAATTGTAAACTGACATATTATGAAAAATTGAAGTTGTCATCAATTTTAATTTTTTAATTTTTCACGATGTATCAATTTGTAATTATGTGGACAATAAATTGGACAACATAATCGGACGGTAAATCTCAACTCACAATGGTAACTTCATTTTCTTACTTTCTATACCTGCATGTATGGACACAGAAAATTGGGTGGACGGATTCATTGAGGGCAAAATGCAAAACTACAGCTCTTTTTTTATATCAAATTTTTTCAAAATATATTTTTCTCTATTTTTTTCAACCACACATTTGTCAATAAAATAATATTAAACGTAAATTTAAAATTTTTTCTTATTTTTTAACCATACATTATCCATCAATGTACTGTTTCAAAATGCATTTTATATATTAAAAAAAAAAGAATTGGGGCTAGAACAAGCCCATAAGAGGTACTTTTATCATGTAAAACTGGATATAACCAAACTAGGGGTTCGTTTAGCACGTCCGATTGAGTATAGTTTTTATAAGTTGAGCTTTCACTTATAGACAGTAAAACCTTTTAAAAAATAACCGTTACTAATATATTGATGACAGTTTGGCTGTCAACAAAAAGTATCTTAATATTAAGAGTAATGTTATTCATCCCCACTGGGGATGAAAACACAGTCTAGGTGGAGCTAATGTGGCATTAAATGATAGGTGAAATTAAATAAGTCATTTAATTTCACCTTTCATTTAGTTTATCATTTAATGACATATACACTGTGTTTTCATCCCCACTGGGGATGAATAACATTTTCCCTT